GGCCGTACATTCTTGCCGAAGGAGCAGTTTGGTGTGCTGGGCTTTCCGTGCACCAGCACAATTGCAGCAGCAGGGCGTGTGGATTCTTTTTGGCATTGGGCATGACAAGTTGTGAGTCATGCGTTTGGGGAATCAAGTGTTGTGTTGTGATGTAGTTCTGTCCCAGGATGAAGTTGCTTTGGACTATCTCTCCACTTCCCAGGTCCGTTCCATTTCGGGCAATGGAATGAGTTTGTGCTGCGCCGGATTCTGTTTGCTGATGGCGGTGCTGTGTGTGTCTGACAGGTGACACAACAGCACACTTTCTAGGCACCATGAAATTCGATCTATGGTCAATTCCTCTCAGGCCAATTCGAACCATGACTGCAAGCCAGCCAGAACATGATGCTAGAAAAGTCACCTATGATCACTTCTACTGGTGCAATGCATTGTTTGTGTGTGTGAACATATTCACTGATAAATGGACTGCTTACTATGTATTCACGATGATGCGTGTAGGCTCTCATGCCGCCGTTTGGGATAGAAAGGGACGAGCCTGTCAGGGACAAGCCATTGCCGTATTTGAGTCTGCAGGGCATTGCATCCAAGAAACCCAGGAAAACCAAGGGTTCTTCCGGCCCTTTTGGCGTGGAGCTTGCTGAAGAGGTGGGGGAAGTGGGTGGAGAGTGGCCGAAGCAAGCCGCTGTAAACCTTAGACCTGGACCTTTTCAAGGTGAGGAATGTGAAGAACCCTCCTACAGTACCTCATCATCGCAGCATCACTGCCCTCGCCCATCCACAGTGGCGCAGAGGAACCCAGACTGCCTCTTTGGCGATGAGCCAGCGGAAGAATCTGGCGAGGAGCCTGAGTCGAGCAGCGACGACGGTGTGACAGATGAGGCAGCCTACCGAGGGTCTTTGGAAACTGTTTTTAGCCTTGGGTGGCACACCCTTTTGGATTTGAAAAAAGCGAGCTTCTGGAAAGATAACATGGACACTGCTTCTGAGAAAAAGAAGCGTCGATACAACAACACCAACCGAGAAGCACTTGCAAAGTATGCCCGACAACAATCAGTTGGCGCATTCAGCCGGAATGGAGTGGACCCTCACAGGCTTCAGAAATTGGTTGGCCTGCCCTCATGTCAATGCCCCTTGAATGGAGTCACGTACACCTTTGTATGTTTCTTCAACCGAACAACATGTTGTAGGAAAGAATTGCCAGTGGAAGTATGTGGAAGTCCTATTGGACCCTACTCAGGTGCAAACAACATCTGCTTCAAGCAGTTTGCGAACTCCAAGGAGTTGCCTTCATTCTTGAAGTCTTTCTGGGGCTTGCCAAAACAAGATCAAGATTCTTTGGCGCCTTCTTTTGGAGAAATATGAAAGTTTTTGATGTTGTTTGAGGACAAACTAGCCTACTAAGCCCTTTGCAAATCTTTGAACTTGGGGGCGCAGCACCTTGCCCAGGTACAGATTTCTTTGGCAACACCAGTGGAGGGCCAGAAGGAGTTTAAACTGCTCGACCATGTTGTGGGTTTCAAGTGCATGGCACTTCTACTGGGTGTTGGAACTGGAAGGTTGAGGAAAGCCTCAAAAACTATGCCAGATATGAGACATGGAAAACGTGAGACCACCAGCAGACCTGGCACTTGGACAGTTGATGCATTTCTGCGCATGGCATATGATGGCACAGCCGAAACACTACCTGACAAGCCCCTCATCAAAAGTAAAGGCTTATTACTTTTGGATCTTTTGGATAGATATATATATATATATTTTTTTTCCTTATATAAAAAACTCTTACTGTTGTCGGCCCTTCCAACCAGCCAACCAGGTTCATCCGGCGTGGCAGAGCTGCCCGGCAGAAGAGGGATCTGGACAGCGATGCTCCTAGCGATTGGGAAGAGGTTGCATCCGACATAGAGGATACTGATGAACTGCGTGGGTGGATGAGCCAGCAGGCAGCCCAAAACAATCCCTTTGTTCCGAATCAGATCCTCATCCGGAAATTCCTCCCCCCAGGGAATGTTATGAGTCTGTATGAGGAGTACAAGTCTACCCAACAAATGCTTGGTGCCCACTACGTCTCGCACCTAGGCCTAGTGTAGTGGCATGTTTCCTTTTGCAAAACTCCACAAAGAATACAGAGATTGGTTGGGTCAACGTTCCAAAACCCAGGTACACCACTTTCAATGGTGTCTATACCAAGCGATGGAAGGACATTCTGCGTTTCAGGGCACCTTCTGAGTTCAGCTGCTGTGAAGTGTGCGCTGCCTACAAAACCCAGCTTGCAGACAGAACTTTGAGTTTGGAACAGAAGTTGGGCTGTCTTCAAGGTTACAGGGCCCATCTTCATGATCAATTTTGTGACCGAACCATCATATGGACCCTACAAGCCCAAGGCAGTGAGCCCCATTCTGGCGTGCTGATGATTTGTACAGATGGGCTGGACCAAAGTAAGTTTGCTCTCCCACGGCACCCTGAGCTTCGGGTGAATGCTGGGCTGCGCCTTGTTAAAATACAACACCCGTTTTCGATCTTTCTGTTTTCTTTACTCCCGTTGCGGTGCCTTCTGAAGGTCAAAGTTACCCACCACCAAAGTCTGCCTTCTGGAGGTCGAAACACCAGCGGCCTCGGTTGAAGGTGCACGGCGTATGGGCCTATGGATATACGGTCAACTGCTTTGTGCTAGATGATTGCTCCAAGCACGACTCGTCAGCAGTCATTGAGATGCTATCCATCACAATCGAAGAGGCTTCTTGGTCTTTGCATAATAAGCCTTGGTTCCAACATCTAATACCAACGTGCACCAATCAAACTCCAATACCTCCAGGGTGACCAAGGCCTAGTGCAGGTGTAGCAGTATAAACACATCCAAGGTCATGAAAATATGTGACCAAGAGAACCGGAGGCGCCCGTCTGCACTCATTGTGAGTGTTGCTTGGCCAATAACGCACGCTTTGGGATCTAGTTTGGGAATGTTTGGGCTGTAGATGTTTTGGTTAACCACACCCTTCCCAAGAAAAAAGGCAGACAACACAGTGCGGGAGTCAAAGAACCAGTTTGTCATGACGTGGCTCCATCTATTGGTGGCCCAGCACCGGTTTCGAACCACCTGCCTTTGCCACCTCCGAAAGTCCCACACCCACTGCCGCATCGGTCCCTTGGTAACTCTTGACCACTGAACTTTTCTGGTTTCTAGGGGTCATGTAGCGGGTTTCAAAACAAAACATGTTTGGGAAACCTGCGCGCCACTGAGATCAATTGTGGGGAATCATCTCCCGCAGAGTGGGCCATGAGAGTGATCTCCTTTGTCCCGGGGATGTGATGGAGGCAATCACTTCAGAGTTGAGCAAGCCCAGTATTCGTGATTGGATCGGACCCCACACACGCGTGCAGATCAGAAAATTGGACTGCACACGCCCTTGGCGTGCACATCTCCCAAACCTTGGCATAAGGCTTGAAGGGGGGCTGCTACGAGACAGCTCTGGAAATCATCTCTTTTTGGCGATGCAACGCCGAGGCAAGGAACAAACAAAAAGTTTACAGATTCTCAATGATTCTCACCCCACACCAACCTGAGACCCTTTCCCCCGTGTTCTCCGATTGGCCTCGACAGCCCTGCAGATCTTCCTGTCGCCCTGGCGGAGACGATCAACAATGGGAGCTTCCGTGGAATCCCCTCACCGCATGATGTGATCCTCCTCATAAAGCGTCACATTTGTGACAAAGAGCTTTCGCAGCCACCTATGCTTGTGCTCACATATTCTCGAGGGGAACACTTCCAAATTGCTCCAGATGGAAAGACTCTTGGCCCCTTTATTTGTTGATGTTTCCTTTCATACAAGGTATTTTGGGGAGGAAGACAAGGATGATCAAATCACAGCGAACTATTGAGTCCTCTTTCTGGTTCCATTTCCCACCACTTAAGTCTTCTAGTTTTGGAGGGGGCTGGAATTGGGTTAATCTCAGGTGGCGCAACAACCACAGCGCTGAATGGGCTTCTGGTGTGCGAAAGCTAGCTGAAGCTGTTCAATTCTACTATGGCCACAAATACCAGCGCGCCATCGACTACTTGCAACAAATAGCGGACAATGAGCTGTGGACCAACGCCACGCCTCCAGATCTTCCTTTCCATAGTGGTGCCACCCAACCTGAAGGGATGGGTGCGCCACAGTATGTTATGCATGATGCGGTGCTCAACGCAATCGCACCAGCTGTCCCTCTAAGGGCGCTGTTCAGCCGTAACAACAGATAAACAAGAAAGAAACACTGTGTATGGACGGGTGGGAGGAATCAGCAGAATGGGCTTTCACCATCCCAATAAACAAGAAGAACTAAGGCGGACATCCTCACAAATTTCAATACATATGATGTATACAGATAAATAGATATCGGGAGGGCGCTGGAGGGGGACAGGAAACCAGAATCGGTGCACTGGTGGGTCACAGGACAGTAAAGTCGGTGCACTCAAGGTTGGTGGCAACCCAAAGTCGGTGCACCGGTGGGTCCCAGGACAGACATTTCGGTGCACTCGAGGGTGGCGGGAAACCAAAGTCGGTGCACCGGTGGGTCCCAGGACAGACATTTCGGTGCACTCGAGGGTGGCGGGAAACCAAAGTCGGTGGACTCGTGGGTCGCAGGACAGAAAGATCGGTGCACCATGAACTCCTGGACGGAAGGTTTCGGTGGTGTATTTGGCAACCACACCGCTGAATCTGGTTGACTCCAGGTTCATCCCCCCATCCTCTGACTGCATTGACTTTACTTCACATGTCCTGGTTCAGAGTCAGTGGTGCGGTGGTGGGAGAGACAGCTGAAACCTTTTGTAGAAAAAGTCGAGGTTCGATTTTTTTTAGGGTCCAAAAAAAAAATTGAACCTCAGATTCTTTTAAATAAAGGATCGGTGGTGCGCTCAACAACCAGTGCGCTGAAAATGATGTTGGGCATCAACATCAGAGTCAGTGGGCTCAAGGGTGCTGTGCCAGCACATCTTGTTTTGAGCCGTGGGCATCAATCTCATGGCCGTGACTCCTTTCCGGGCAAAAGCTGAGGAGCGAGCGGCCAAAATCAAGAAGGATGAGGATAGTAGTCCAGAGCCCTCAGCGAAGCGCCCGTGCAATACTCACGAGAAGCAGCTGGCCAAGCTCCCTAAGGGTGATTTGGAGACTGTGAAGGACATGGTTGAACCCAATTATGGTTGGTGGATTGGTTTTATAGAAAAGGCGAAATACAGCTGCTTCTTTAGTATGTTCTTTAGTAACTTGATTTCATTCAAGCTAGGACCTGCTGAACTATGCGGCTTCTTTCCGCAGCAGCAACAATGAGGGTGCTCACCCAGCAGCGCTGATGACAGAGCTCTATGGCAGCGCAGCCACTGATGCTAATGTGTTGCACTGCCAGCAGCTGGATGGTTGGTACTCGGAGTATGCAACTAGCATCCGGAACATGCCATATCTTTACAAGAAGCCGGAGCAGGTGGAATCTAGGGACCAGCTGAATACTTTTTGTGAACTGTAGTGGGTAGCAGTGGGGAAGCAAACCACAAATATGGAGTTGAACTCTGAGACTCCGAACCAAGGAGTTGAATCCTTCCATGGACGGCGAAGTGGTGAAGCTGCCAATCACTTGCCTCCGGTGCCGCAGCTGGTTTGGTAGCTTCTGTGAATTTGTGAAGTGAGGGGTTGCAAAAGGGGTTCACTTAAGGGGTTCAGCACCAGGGGTAAGGTGACAGGCCACCCAGTCCCTGCAAAATCCTGCAAACATTTGAGGTTCACCACGCCGGACGATGGACTCCCAGTGTGCGAGGACTGGTGCTCCACATTTGAATCTATGATCTTGGGAGGAGTGGAGCTTTCACGAGAGCCTCTCGACATCTCTACTGTCAAGCACGCAGGCTTGGTCCCGCATTGACACTTTTGTTGCAGAGCCCCCCAAAACATAAGGATAGTCTTTAATTGGTCACAAACTCTCACTCTCCTCAGTCACAAACTCTGCCACCCTCTAGGAACATGGGCCATGACGGCCCAATCCGTGGACCAGGTCAAGGGTTGGACCCGCGCTAGTGCTGTCATGACCATTCTCACAGCTTGCAGCGAGTTGGACCTGACGGACAGCGCATCAGTTGAGAAGCTAAGACCACTGTTCCCAGTCCTCGACAAGTGCTGGATGATTCCTTGCGCTGCATCTCGCTAAAGATTGCTGCCAAAATTGTGAAGCTATATATAATATATAAATAATATACAATGTTTGAATATGTGTTTGCTGTTTGTTTTGCAAATAGGTTTTTGTGTTTTGCTCAACTGAGTGAACGCCCCAAGGTAGCATTTGACTTGCTTGAAGTTGAGCGGAGCTTCAAGAACATTTCCTTGTCTTTCAGAGGATCGGAGAGGCAGCCACCCAGCTCACTTCAATTGGCCTTGAGGTTCTCAAAGCTGATTGAGACCAAGGCCCGTGAAGGGGAGCATCCACAGGATTGGACTACAGAGCAACGCCTGCAGTCCATCGTGCAGGAGTTCAATGAAAGCAGCGGACTGCAAGCTAAACATCGCATCGAAGATGAACGATACAAGGCCGTCCTGAACTTGCTTTCAGGGAGCTGTGAAGAATCTTAGTCTTGTCTGTTTTGGAGCGCAAGCCTTTTTGGGAATGTGTTTGTGGATGTGGTTTTTGCTTTTGTTGAGGGCTAATGGTTTTTTGAGCGCAAGCCTTTTTGCTTCCAAGGAAGCCCGAATTGTCATCCGACACCATCTGGATTCCCACAAGTGGCACCAGAGTGCCTTTAGCACGGAGCAATTCAAAGGAACAAGGTGGATGTTGACTGCGGCTCCCAAAGCAGCTTCTTGTCCAAGCGAGCTGCGCAAATGCCTTACAGTGACTCCCGCCAGCCAGGTCCTCCACATGAAGCTGGTTGTCAAAACGTTCCTGGATGGTACCAGGCGTTTGCGGGCGTCCGCGCGAGGGAAAGCTCGACTTTCATCTGGTCAGTTCGATGCCATGTGTGACTTTGCCTGCGCGTACTCCTACGTTTGGGAAGAGGCAAGGCTGACCTCAACCTGGGATGCGGAGAAAGAGGCTGCAATGGAGAAAGCCTTTTTCCAAAGGACTCTCGCCCAAATCAAATGCTTCATTTGTTGTGGTTTGACTTTTTCGTGAAGCCTCCTTTCAAGACTGTTCATGGCTTGTGTGGCCACATTCTTTTTCTTGAAGCCTCCTTTCAAGACTGTTCATGGCTTGTGTGGCCCATTGTCCCAACCAAGGGATTATTCGGCTGACATTGAGGCCGCTGTCACTGCAAAGATGTCAACCTGGAAACCGCAACATCTTGCACTATGGGTTGACATGGTGGAGCCACCCAAAGCGCCGCTGAGCATTCCATCAGCAGCAGAGCTGGTTGAGATCGAGGACCAGTCGCAGGCAGCTCGATTCCGTGAAATTCGAGCCAAGCTCTCTCAGGATGTCGCTGACATGACCACGTTCAACTCCAAGAACGCTGAGATTGAGCGGCGAGGTCATGTTGTGTCTGTGATGCACGAGAAAGCGCAAATGGCTGTGGGCAAGCAGCTTCTCGATTTTTCTGTAATTTGTGTTTCCTCCTGTTTGTCAACTTTGTTGATTGGTCTGCACTTGGAGTCTCTCCATCCTGAGTCAACATGAGGCTTTGTGAGACTTTCATGGAGAAATCCTGCCGGATCTCGCTGGTGACCAAGAAGGACGGCTTTGACCTTGGCTTGGACAATGCTGTGCGGGCAGCTGCTGCAGCTGCCAAGGTCCAGGGTCCTGAAATCTCACACTGCATTTTTGGGACTATGTTGTGTCTTCAAACGAATGGCCATAATATCATAGTCATTCAAGTCCTTCAGCCAAAAATGTTGACCTTTGTGCGTGTGACTCCCTGGCCTTTATCCAGGTGGATTCGAAAGATGTTGACACCATCTTGTACTTCGATTGCACGAAGCTTGGAGTCCTTTCCCAGGCAGAAGTCAATTTGGTGGGCGAGTACGCCGACAAGGTTCTCAGCAAGAACCCAGCGCGTCAGGGACTTGGTTTTCTTCAGAAAAGATTGTGGGGAAAAGGTGGATGTTTTTTTGTTGCCCTCTTCCTGTAGGCTCAGTGCTGCTTCTGATTCCGCCACTCCTTTGTGGCTCTGAATCTGTTGGATCCCTTCGCAGTGATTTGAGGAAACCGGTTTGGTGAAAAGTTGCTTGTTGTGTGAAAACCTTTCTCAGCCAAAGGTTTTGGGTTGTTCAATCAAACCCCCTTGAAGGAAGTTGGAGGACAAGCTATTAGCAAGTCGGATTGAGCTACGCTCTTTCACCCTCAACCTTGACCTCAGTGAAATTCATGGCAACAGAGACTTGCCATCGGCCTTCGTATGTTTCCTGGGCGTTTGCGATAGCACGCTGCCTTTGAAGGGAACAGCGCACAGATCTGTCCGGGGTGCTCCAGCCCCTGATGATCGGACAAATGTGCTGCTTGTGTCCTTTGTTTAGGGCAGACTTTCTTTTCTTGTTGCACTTTGCTTCTTGCAAGGGTCTGCTGATGTCACTTCTTGGTGCTTGGATCAGGTTCTGCGCCTCACACCTTTGGCAACGGCAGAGCCTTCCTTTTGCAAAATTTCCCAAAGCGCTTGATGAAAAAAACTTTGTGGTGCCTGGAGAGGGCTTTCTTTGCCATGAGTCTCGCAGATCGCTCAGTGATTTGCAAGAGACATCGCAGTGGATGGGCGGACAGGCCGTTCCCACAGCGCTTTTGGAAGCCCTTACAGGCCTGGGTGTTATGAGGGTGCTTTGTTTGTAACTGATTTTTTTCTGTAGGGACACTGTAGGGAAAAGCCATTGGGTTCAGAAATGCATCTATCCAAGGTTCTTTTCATAAACTCCTGACAGGAGACCGGAAATCATATCATGCAGCAGTGGTGGTGCATCCGACCACTTACGATTCTTGCGTCGAGCTTGCAGCTGTAAAGGCTGGCTTCATCGTTCTCAGCAGCACTGGCAACAACATGGCCTTCAACTGCAGCAAGGAGATCATGAAGACACATCTCTTGGAGGCTCGGGTTAGTGGTTCAATGTCCTTCTGTTAAAGGTTGACGCCAAAAATGAATGAAAGCTGGGTGAAATGAATGAACGCTGAAGTGAATGAAAGCTGAAAATGGATGGATGAATGAATGAATAATAATGAACGTTGGTTGACAATCAGGCGTGGAAGAATTCTCGCGCACCTATGAATTCAGTGCTGCCTCGCTATCGGAAAGCACCGCCGCCGGAGGAGATGCCGGCCGTGCTTCAGAAGCCTGAGCTGCGGATTTGTCAGCTGTCAGATGGGCGGCTGATCATTCCCCGCGACATCCGGCAGGCCTTTTTGACTTGCCCCGTGTGGGGACCTGAGTGGAGGGATCTGTTGAAGGCCTTCGATGCAGACTGGGGCGTCGCTGTCCCGAGTGGCCCATCTACGCCATCACCATCTGGTCCAGTGTCGCAGTCCAATGAGAAGAAGGAGGAGGTCAAGGATGAGGATGGCTTCTGGGCAAAGCACTTTGCAGACTCCTTCAAGACCTTGGAAGCACTCAAGGCCAAATTTGGCAGCGACCTCACGGAGATGGCTGGCCCTGAGCAGGCTGTGTCCTTTGCTTTGGTTCCAGGCCCAGCTCTCTACATCGTTGGCAAGGAGGCGGTTCAGCTCAAGGAGTCTGCGGGGTCGCCGCTTGTTTGCCACGGAGCTGGCACATGGCTTTTGGGCGCGAAGGCTGAGAAGTACAGGGCTGACAATCCAGGGCGAGGGATCCCTTGCGCTTGGAGCTCTGACGAAGTGTTGGTCGTTGTGGAGGAGAGGGGTTGTTGTTCCTTATCACTTGAGGTTGTCAATTTCCTGTTGTCAATTTCCTGCCTTCATCTTTTTTGTTGCCATGACTCCATGACCATGCAGGAAGACCAGGTTGATGGACCCATCCAGACTTTGCGGCAAGCTCTCCAGGGCTTTGAGAAGAAGGGCCATGTGGACTACACGCTTGGAGGGCACCAGTGCTCCCGGCCCCCTGGCGTGCAGCAGGGGAAGGCGGAAGACTCCTTCAGCATCAAGCCGGACCCGGACAACCTTTTGATCTGGAAGCCGAACATGGTGGCAGCGAAGTCACTGAAAGCCGCCAATGTTGCCTCCTCCTTCACATGGCCTTTGCTTGAAGCATCTCCTCTCCGGCTTGTCACCCGGCCTGATTGCTTTTTTGCCGCACGCTTTACATGCTTTGGCACATGTTCTCAACTTTCTTTTGGCCTTGCCTGGGCTTATGTTTCTTCAGCCCCTTTGTCTTGGTTTTGTGAGGTGTGGCGGCTGCGCTACTGGCAGAATGAAAAGTGTGTGGCAGCAGCAAAGCCGCTGTACTTTTTGCCATCAGATCTCACGCTGGAGAAGGGTGCCTGTCAGCGCATCATCTAGATGCTTTTGGCTGATGCGGATTTTCGGATTTGGGGTTGGGTTGGAAGCGTGACTGCTTCTGCTCACTGTTCACCACAAAAGAGCTGTGGTGACTGAATCTTGGGTGCTTCGCTTTTGTGTGCAATGCCATACTTGGGATGCGAAGTGTTGTGAGCGCCAGTTGAAAAGTGTTTGCCTCCTTTTTCATGCCCATAAGTTTCGGGCTGCCTTGCCAAGCTGCTTATGCATTTGTGTGCAGGCATGTGAGTTGTTTGGCGTGCTTGCCTTAGACCTTTTTGTGATCAAAGTGAGTGATCCTTTTTTGGTCGTCCCTGGTGTGATGGAGAACATCTACACACAGGTTGTCTATGAAGACAGTCAGGGAGATGACAATGTCATGGAATATGAGGTTTCTGCGGCTAGGTCCAATCCTGTGAGTGCTGCAGCGCCTGCTGTGGAAAAACCATTCCACACCATCCATGACCCAGCTCGCCCTGCACCTTCAATCTTCTTGATTGGGCATTCTGTTTCGAAAGGTTTCCAGGGTCTTGCTCAGCCGGTTCTTCCTGGCCCACCAGAGAGTCCAGAAATGTGCCTGTGGTTCAATGTAGTTGTTTGTGAGCAGCATTTTTGTTCAATGTAGTTGTAGTTGTTTGAGAGCTCAGCTACCAAAAGTTTGTGCATACTGTTTCAAACAGGTTTTATCACTTTTGGTAGTATTGCTTTATATCACTTTCTCGTGGCAGGCCAAAGCGGCAGCTTATGGATGCTTTTCATGAAGCTGCTGATGGTTCTCACGCGCAAATGAAGCGCCTCAAGTCCACTGCTAATTTGATGCCATCAGCACCAACGGCTACACGTTCAGCTCCAAAAGAACCCGTTGCTACACTTTCAACTGGAGGGGAACCCTTGGCTACGCCTACACAATCAGCTCCATTTGCTCCAGAGGAGCCCTTCGCTACACCACTGGGGTCAACAAGATTGATGGACCAGCTCACCTCTCAGTTGGAAGCGCAGCCGTCAACCGGAGCTGCCTTTGAGGCCATGGGCCTTGGGTTTCTGCATTTTGACCCTCGTGAACTTGAAGATTCTCAAGATCAACATGAGTGCCATGGACCATCGTTCAATGAGAAGGGTGAGGTCATTGACAGCTATGATGGACCGCCGGTCAACGAGAAGGGTGAGGTCATTGTTGGCCATGGATCCCCGGTCAATGAGAAGAAGGATGATCTCATTGAAATCCCCGATGAACCTACTGCCCCAAAAATGGCATGTCCACCTGGGGCTTCAACGCACAAAAAGAATGAAGACAAGAAGGGTGCACCAAACAAGGAGACCAGCCGTGCGTGGCATCAGAAGTATGTGTCCAAAGGTGTCCTGCGCAACCCGCCTTCGGGAGCAAAGGGGCCTTCGACGCATTCCTCCTTGCAGAAGGCACGCGAAGCATTCATCACCCAGTGGATCAATGAGAGTGGCATGGCTAAGTCACAAGAACGTTTCAAGGCCGCTTGTCAGGCTTGGATGGAATCTTCCATTCGGGCTGATTTCATTGCTGGTCGCACAGGGACCCAAAAGTGACAGTAGCAAAGAGCTACTGGATGTTTGATGCTAACATGTACACTATACCATAGCGCACTACACCATACTATTTGTTGGTGTCCCAACAAGTCAGTGCAATCGGCGTCTTGGGTTTCACATGAGTGATGGACTCATGTGCTTAGAAAAAAGACTCAAGTTTCGAGGGTGTCATGGAGTGGAATTGGAATGATGTACTCACAGGTTTTTTGAGGAGTGGGCAAGCTTTTTGAGGGTACTTGTGAAGGGGGCCATCGTCACATCCGCCCAGGCCCTGTCCTCGACCTCAACCATGGCCAGCAGGAGGCGATGGCAGGTGACGGTCCGTCCGAACATCTGAAATGATGTGTGCATGGACATGCCTGCCACATATGCACGTACGATTGTTGACACAAATGGATGTACAAATTGGCCAGCAATCTAAAGCATATCCTATGTATATCCTATGTATATACTTACTATATGTATATGTATATATGTTTGCTATACACTCTACAATATATATTATCTGAGCTTAGATGTAAAGCGAGCGGCGAGCGACTCTCCACCCTGGTCCAACTTAAACATTAAAACATTTTTCACCAACCGTATTGTAAAAACTCATGAGGACAACTCGGTGTCCAGTTTGGAATTGAAATGAAAATTTTGCTACTGAAATCTCCAAGAGGTCAACAATCTAGACACATGTATTCTTCAAGCTCTCCCCACTCCCCCTCCACTGTGGCCACCTGGCCAGGCACTTGCCATTGTTCTGGGCGTGTGAACTGCCCACTGGAGGCTGAAAGGTGTAGCCGAAGATTGTGGATCTGAAAAATGTCTAAAGATGGTGGTAGGCAAACCAACCAACATGTGGGGCATGCACCAAATACTGAAAAAACCAGCGGTAGTTGAAAACATGCTCTTGACTCTAAGAACTTGGCTATGCTACATTTGGCCCAAAATGGTATGCTGCAAAGCATGCTTGGCTATGCTGCAAAGCATGCTTGGATAAGCTATGCTGCATGTTTGTTCCAGAGATTTGGTAGCTGAGCTTTTGGTGGGTGGGTGGGTCCAAAAGCCACCAATAAGGGGCTAGATGCCACCAATGTAACTTAAGATCTGTTTCGGGTGTGCGCTACACTGCACATAGTGTTTGTCATGTTGTGATGTTAGTGCAGCTGTGGCGTAGCACTTCCACCAGACCATTAGGCTCTGGTCGGGTGTGGGCGCCGGCGACGCTGTTCCATTGTAAATCGCAGTAGATCTGGCTCCGTTAGAGGGTCTGGTGGTTGCTTGGTCGGCTCTGGTCGGCTCTGGTCGGGTGTGGGCGCCGGCGACGCTGTACCATTGTAAATCGCATAGATCTGACTCCGTTCGAGGGTCTGGTGGTTGCTTGGTCGGCTCTGGTTGGCTCTGGTCGGCTGTGGTCGGCTCTGGTCGGGTGTGGGCGCCGGCGACGCTGTTCCATTGTAAATGGCAGTAGATCTGGCTCCGTTAGAGGGTCTGGTGGTTGCTTGGTCGGCTCTGGTCGGGTGTGGGCGCCGGCGACGCTGTTCCATTGTTAATCGCAGTAGATCTGACTCCGTTAGAGGGTCTGGTGGTTGCTTGGTCGGCTCTCGGCGACGCTGTTCCATTGTAAATGGCAGTAGATCTGGCTCCGTTAGAGGGTCTGGCGGTTGCTTGGTCGGCTCTGGTCGGCTCTGGTCGGCTGTGGTCGGCTCTGGTCGGGTGTGGGCGCCGGCGACGCTGTACCATTGTAAATCGCAGTAGGTCTGACTCCGTTAGAGGGTCTGGTGGTTGCTTGGTCGACGCTGGTCCATTGTAAATCGCAGTAGATCTGCCTCCGTTAGAGGGTCTGGTGGTTGCTTGGTCGGCTCTCGGCGACGCTGTTCCATTGTAAATGGCAGTAGGTCTGGCTCCGTTAGAGGGTCTGGTGGCTGCTTGGTCGGCTCTGGTCGGGTGTGGGCGCCGGCGACGCTGTTCCATTGTAAATCGCAGTCGGAAGTTGACATGCAAACAGAAGAGTTGCGACAAATCCGAGTGGGCATCAACGAAGCTTTCTGCGATGGTGTCAACAGCGGCTTCTATGTGAACTCCTACACGACAAAGCCTGGACCCGCATTGGCTGGTATGCTAGAAGAGCTGAGAAAAGGCGCGTTTTTTTTTTGTATATATTAAAGAATACTTTTGCACAAGAACATTTGAGTTTCTCAGGGCTTCACATCAGTTCTTATGGGTACACACAAAACACGACATGTAGGCGCAAAGCTTTGCCACACACGAACTACGAAACGATACTTTACGGTAGTCATGTGAACCCTGTGTTTAACGGTGTGTTTTACCACCGTTATGTGATACACACGTTGTGTGAACCCTGTGTCATCCGGTACGTTGTATACTATAGTAGCCCTCTTTTGTCACACTTGTCCATCCGCATCCTGAGGCATCGAACGCTTGGAGGCCGAGAGACACATGCGAGAAGAAGAAAGGTCGGCAGCAGAAAAGCGAGCTCGAGATGCCGGCGACCATGTACCAGGCCGCAGAGGCGTTATGTTCGCCGAAACCTTGAAGACTTTGATGCGCGTGAGCTCTTCCTACCGCAGGTGTCACTGGAAAAGCGCTTCCGAGATTCTCTTCCCCATCTTATATCAGCACCTCACCTTCGCGTCCCATCGGACCTGGAAGTTGTATACGAAAAAAGCCATATTTTTTTGTTTCGAGGCTTGGCGCCGTCGCTATGGCGACTCCGTTCTTCGGGCGCAAGCCTCTGCATACTTCTGTTTCGTCGTGAAGGCTTGGATGACGTGGTCTTACAAGGGTGGCGCAAAGTGGCGCGCGAAGATGAGCTGTTGCGAGAGATCCAGTATGTTTATATTGGGCCACAAGGACAGCAATGCGCAGATTTGTATACTGCGTATGAAGAGTATCAAGGCGCCCACTTGAGCAAAAGACGCCCTGAGCACAAGCCGACTATCATGCAAGAGTTGCTCACGTTGCATGCAGTGCAGGAAAAGGTGCTGCCGACGGACACAGAGGGAAGCGACCCCAGCAGCAATTTGCGAGCGTTGATTTGGCAGTCACATCCAGTAGCCTGGAGGACTACTTGTTTCGGGGCGATCACCCGGCGCTTGCAGGTATGAGCTGGGCAACCTATGGTACCTGGGTGTATCGAGTCGAACTGCCACCTCGTCCTGAAGTCTCTGTTCGTGCCGCTGTTCCACGACACGTGGATTTCTATTTTGCCTCTTCTTACAAGCTGTATGGATCACATGTCCAGCGACTGAGTACGGAGCCGCGCGTTCCAATGTTTGAAGGGTTTAGCACGCCGCCCTTGACGGTCGACAGCGAGAGGAACGCCATGTACAAGCAACTGCAGTGCAGGCCAGTTGCTGTACGTGACGTTCCTCTCGCTGACGAGGAGTTGGTCCTGGACGCCCTCGGCAACTTCTGCAGGCCCAAGCGGACAC